GTCTGCCGATTCCTTCTTGCGTAGCTGAAAGACGCCAAAGGACCGCCAAAAGGATGTAAGGGGGTGTCTGCCGACCCTTATTATTTCTCAGCCTTGGCGCCGGGTCGGAAATGCATCTTTGCGTCACAGTCTGGTGCTGCCAACTGGTGTCAGGTAGGTGCGCGTTCCGTGTAGGTATACGGTCGGTGGACAGGCCCATGGCGGCAATGCAGCATAGCAGCAGGCATACGTGCATCTATAGAGTGGCACATTGCCAGCAGTGACCTGACCCCCAGTCGGTCCGCTGCAGACCGGTGCAAGGCAACACCCCCGATCAACGGCAGTCCGACCGCCGGCCACAGGCCCGTCACGGCCTTGTCAAGGGCAGCTGACGTCACGCCGAATGAGTCACCCGGCCGCCCCCCGGTGCGGAGGACGGTCAAGTGTCACACGCTCGCGCCTGCGCCGCTGGCAACCACGTGACCATCAGTAGCTATCGTTGCTGCCGCCGCCTGCGGCGCTACCAGCGTTGGAAGTGCCACCTAGTGCTGACGTCACGATCACACAATGGCTGGTCGGACCCGCCAAGATGGCGTCAGGGCGACAGGGCATTGGGCGTAGGCCATGGACATCAATACTGATGCCAGGCAAGCAAAGAGTATATAGGGCTAAAAAATGCATGGCAGGCTAAGAACGTCAATGCTCGGGGTTACATGAGCAGAGTTAATACGCATTACAAACGGACTACAATGGTGAGCGAATAGGAAAATCCGTTCCTGATACGCATTTACTTGCTCATGTAACCCCGGTAAATGACTGGGGCCAGGCAAGCAATGACATGGGTGGAAAGAACCATTGTAGGTACGGAAGAGGAGGTCATCCTGGTTGGCCGGGCACAAGATAAATGTACAGAAAGTCACAGGTTCATACACTGAGCAAATCACACCGGGGTGAGCTGCTCCCCAGGCACATTGCAGGTGGTGATACACCTGATTCCAGTCAGTGTAGGGCTCGTTATGGTCAGTAATGTGGCGCACGGCGCCCGGCCTCGGCTAGGGGGGGGGGGGGGGCGCGATGGGGACAAACTCTTATCATGTATGCTATATTGAATCGCCGTTAGCGATCACATGAGTGAGTAAGGTGCAAGTGGCAATCACCACCGGCGTGTTATGGGACGCGGCGAGAAACGGGCGAGACAAAATGGCGCCCGGCGCCGGGGGGGGGGGGGGGTAATCTCCCCATGCACGCGGTGAAAGCCGTCGACAGACCTAGTTAGGTAGCAGGGAATGTCCAGTAACATACCTGCAGTTTTTTCGCCGGCGAGGGGCCATCGCGACCACAGTAGGATCCTAGTTTTACTCTCGCTGATGCACGTTGGTGTGGAACCCGTTCGGCGTAGGAAGACTATGGTGGTGATGCTTGCCAGCGCCGCCCCTCCTTCACGGATTCTGCTTTCTTGTTGGATTTTGCTGCTCACATATCGATTCACACATACATCACTCGCACTCAAGACTGAACAGTGAACATTCAACTCGACTAATGTGCCCCGCGCCCTTGCCGACGGCTCGCCGGCGGGCACCCGACTCCGTCTCCCGGCCGCCCGGGCGCGGCGCCGCGGCGCGGCCGTCCCGGTTACCTGACCCGGCCGGCTAAAGGTCGGACCGGCTCCGGCCGCCGCTGCCAGCCCGCGGCGGGCCCGGGGAGGGGTACTACACTACATTCTGCCATTGTCGTGGCAACATGCCTGGTGAGGGCAAACACTGACATTATTTCTCTCCCATCAATATCAAAGTATTGCCCGATTATCTCGTCCAGCGCTGCCACCCGTCGAACGTTGCTCTCCCTAATTGTTCCTCCTAGGGGTCGCCGCAGTCTGCCCCGCCGCAGTCTGCCCCGACACTAATGTTCCGTGATCATCGCCGGCTCTAATACGGTCCCATTTTGCTGTTTGAGACGAACGCTTTCAGCGAAAGAAGCAGAAGACGGTGAATTCCCCAGAACCTCCTTTTTAATCATGCGTGTTATTTTTAATGCATATTTGCAACGCAAAGCCTTGGAACGCACAAGAGATCGTTTCAGGCAAGATAAAAACATATCCAATATGAAATTCAATTAGAAAAACACGGAACAAATAGTGCATGGACGCGTTTCGATTATTAACCCGGCCGGGCCCGGGGGGTAATCCCAACCACCGCAGCCCGGGGGGGGGGCGTTTTTCGCCCCCCCTGTCTAACTCCGTAAATAAGGGAGCTACGGAAACAAAAGCGATACCAAACGAAAGGTCCTTACGAGACGATTCTAATGCACCTAAAATTTTTGACCTCAGGTCAATTTTCAAGGTCAGAGGTCAAGGTCAAAGGCCAAAACCGGCACATGTGTAGTGATCTCAAAGTAAGCCTTCTAGAGGACGGCAGGCTGCATCAAACCGGCAAAATTGGGTGTCAAACGAAAGAAGAGAATCTGAGGATTCTGAAAATGTGCTCTAAATCAAAGGTCAAGGTCAAGGTCACGCTCAAAATTGACCTCAAACTTGGCACTTTTTCGCACATCTTGCGTGCTAACTTCCAAGATGTTTTGAAATGTTTTGAGGCTTATCAGTTCCCTATTTGTGGTTCATCTTACGATACAAGGCTGCTCAAAGGTCAAGGTCACAGAAGAGTATCCCTGCTAGAGGCTATTTCACTTATTAAGTTAGTAATAATAAATAAGACAATTTTGCCATCCGGAAGCTCTAAATGAAGGCTTAGAGGAAAATAGATGCCAGATTCGTGATCAGCGGGTACAAATCCATCATAAACGACCTTTCATGTGTCAAGGTCAACCAGAGGTCATTCGAGGTCACATGAGGTCAACATGAAACTTGACCTTTTCCGAACAAAATATATATCATTCGACGCGGCTTGACAAGGCGAATGCGATGGTACCACTGCCGTAGCTCTAGGACCATTTTTGTCGAAGTTATTTGCGAAAAACTAAAACCACATTTCGGGGTCGTTGACCTGACCTCTGACCTCAGGTCACCAAAACTATTTTTGTATTTTTCTCTAGGTCAAACGCTACACAGCCGTGCTCGTAATTTGTCTTTATCTCTAAAACTCTATTTTTAGCAGCTATTTGAAGTTTGCGTCTGTGACGCCGAAGTTTGCCGTGCAGGGGTCTAGAAAAATGGACCTTGTGACGTCATCAAGGGGGTTAGGTCCAAATTTTTTACTTCAGAAGATGTCAAATTGATGGGAGAAAAGGTACTGAAAGTTTCGCCTTCCTATCCCTAAGCGTTCTGGAGTTATCGCAAATATTCGCCAGGGGGGGCGAAAAACGCCCCCCCCCCGGGCCCGCGAGGGTTAAATCTTCATCAGCATGACATAATTGCACTGTGACGAGCTCGAATGTTTGTGTGCTATATCTTGTTTTCTCTGTGATTATGTCATGCTGATGAAGATTTAATAATCGAAACGCGTCCATGCACTATTTGTTCCGTGTTTTTCTACTTGTCTCTATCAATATACATGTGTATGAAATTCAATATCATTATATAGATTTTAATAGAACCGTCCGGAGTCGGAGTCGGAGTCGGAGTCGGAGCCGATTTTTTAAGCCGGAGTCGGAGTCGGAGTCGGAGTCTCCCTAAAATCCATCGACTCCGCAGCCCTGCTTTGAATGGCTGTTCAATTTTCGGCAGAATATGGTCTATCATCAACTTTGACTTGCGGAGAAGAATATCTTTCAATTTTTTAACTAGGTACCTCTGTCGCTGATGTGTTTTGAGATTGGACCAATCAGAGATGGCATCCAGAGGGCGAAAACCGTCCAGATTGAGTTTTTTTGCGGAAATTGTGTGTTCTGTAAGAGCGTTTCACACGATACTTGAGCAGCATTCGACTGATGATCTCGGTGACCTGACCTAAAAATGACCGACTTACTTCCCTAGTTGCTTTTTACGGTCTTTTACGATCTTTACGATCCACGATCGCTTCGTGGCCCGAAACATGCTCTAACTGAAGCCGAGCTAGAGCTGGAGTTGATGTTCAGACGTTCCCTTATACCCAGCAGACTCAGAGCGTGGAAGTTCAGGAGACCCAGCGACGCGCAGGTTAATTCTTTTGTCATGTTCACTTGTCTTTCAGGAGTCATTCATGACTCAGCTTATAACTTTGGTATCTATACAAGCGTCCTCTTTGTCACTTTAAGGGCAAAAATGCGAAATTCACAATAGAAATCCCGTAACTTATTTTAGATTTATGTGTGTCATTATTCCCACTCACACGTAATCAAAGAAAATGTAGCAGTGTTGTTTGACTTTATTGACAAAGGACATCACACAATAAATACAACACAAACATAATTCATTTAAGCATACAATACACGCATTTGTGACTTAGTTGCCGTAGGCGGGCTTGTAGGTGGGCTTGTAGCTCTGCTGAGGGTAGCTGGGCTTGTAGCTGGGCTTGTACTCGTCGTAGCGAGCCTCACCCTCGTAGGTGACGTCAGCAATGGTGCCAGAGTAGGCGTCATCCACACGGTAGGTGACCGTCTGGGTACGGCCGTCGGGCAGCACAACCGAATAAGATCCCTGGGTGGCGTAGCCGTCACGCGCCTCCTGGGCGTTGAAGACGGGCTCGTAGTCTCCGTATCCGTGGACGTCGTAGCTGTAGTCGTACTTGGGCGGCTGGTCGTAGCTCTCCTGCTTGTAGGGAGCGGGCTTGTAGGCCGGCTGGGGGTGGTAGGCGGGCCTGGGCGCGTAGGAAGGCGCGTTGTCGGCGGCGGCAACGGCCAGCAGGGCGGCAACCAGGAAGAACTGCAAAGATCAAAGAATATGTAAGACCCGGGGTAGTGCATATGCATAAAATAATACCAGTGTACGGCTTTCAAGCAATGTGCTGATGTTCGAAAGGAGCACGCTGCAACATTTTAAACGGTGGCACCCGGCCCTGGTGCTTCTGCAATGTTTGGCGTTCTGTGCTTCAAATTTAACTTCCCCACATAATTATTATTTAGCGGTTGCTTTGTTCTCTTGCACCTACCTTCATGTTGAGTGTGCTGTGGAGCTGTGTGATCAACTGATGCCGACCTGCGGACCGGAGCGGCTTTATACGGCTCGGAGTTGGGCGGTGACCTAGCCAGCGGCAGACCAGAGCGGTCGGGCGGGCGGGTGTGGCCTGGTTGTCAGGATCACATGCTGCACTCTGCTGAAGAGGCAAAAGGAATTCTATTTGGCTTTTAATAATTGCATAGTTTGGTGTTTTTTCTTTATCAATTTATATTTTTTTAAAATGAGAAGGTTCTTTACTCGTTCCTTTGTTCCTTCATAAACTGATTTCCGTTACTAGCTTCACCGTGTTATGTTGTTTTTGTAGGTCAAGATATGATAGTCTTAGTTCAATCTATTATTATTGTGTATATATATATATATATATATATATATATATATATATATATATATATATATATATATATATATATATTATGCAATCTTCAATATGTTATATTATATTGTCCGACCATAGCTTTAAATGCGATCTTAAAAAAGCAAGCGCCCGGACAGTTATCCAAACAAGTGTCCTAGACGAACCCAAAGTCAGAAATCCTGAAATTAAAGCCGAAACTGCTGTTCAGAGCCGACTGCCTTGTCCTCGCTGTCTCGTCCGGCGGACCCCACGCAAGCGCAGACAATGCGGTGAGGGTGACGCTCCTCAAAGGGGCCAATGATTATGCTAAATATCTCGTCATTGTGACGCCACATGGAGACATTATAAAGAGAGATAACTACCAACCTTATGACACTCCAATCCTCTGCGTAAATTTTACGAAGTTACCAATTTCTTAACGATAAAACCTAGCAGTGTTTTGTTTTGTGTGTGTGTTTTTTTACGTTGGTGAGGCCAAAACCGATACAAACTGAAAGCAGCGGGACGGCGGCAATAAGTTATACAGTGTGCACTAAACATTGAAAGGTCTGTTGCTCCTAATGTGCATCACATTTGCTTGGTCAGATGTATGCTGCTCTCTACGAAAGGGTACCACGGTAAGGGTCCGCAAGGAGGGTCATGAAGCATGTCATTCTATTTGGCAGCTCAATTTGAGTTTATTGGTGCACTTCTCGACTCTAAGTTCACTTCAGTCGGGGATTTTACATGGATGAAATACTCCGATGGCCTCAAGCGACAATAGCAACGACTTATATGATGTCACATAAGGTTCACGGATCAAAACCTTAGCAAGAAAACCTTGCAACTAGTGTTTGAAATTGCCATTTCATGTACAGTGGGTCTATTTAAGATCTCCAGAGCCACCACGTGGCGCTACGGTCGGGGTAGGGCGAGTCCAAATCCCGAGGGAAGTGAGGTCACCGGTCATTGTGGGGGAAGGAGGGAGGGGGAGTGACGCGGTATCACGGCGCATGGGGCGTGCGTAACTGCGTAGCGCCGGGAGTGGGCCGCCCAGGGCCGCCCGCCACTGCGCCGAGGCTGAGGGGAGGGGATGATGGTTGCGGGTGCGTTCACTCCGGTATGGTGGTATCCTGTTCATGTGGAACCGGCAAGGACGCGACTGAAGGGAATCATTATCTAAAACAAACGGGCAAGCCAGAGGCAGCGTCAGTTCCAGCCAAAATGTTGAACAATGATAATTGAAACAATCTAGGACGTATTCATAGCATGCAACTTTTCAGTCGATAGTTGCATGATGCTTTTCATGATGCATGATGAGGCTTTTCTTAACTGTTATTTGAGTTAGATATTTTTCATTTGGCACGTTCAGTTTTGGTGGGTTTTATCGGGTCGAAAAGAATTAGAAAAGAAAAAAAGAGTTGAAATGGCTTCAGACAAATGACCAAAAATATTTTCCTAAAAAATGAAACTTAGCTAAACGTTTATAAGCGATAATTTTGACTTTTGGGGAGGATATTGGGGAAAGATATTGGGGAAAGATGTCATCGTGCTTAGCTGTGTTGCAGTAGAAGGAAAGGTTTTGGTTGTGTCTAGATAAAACCAGACCCGGGAGTGGGGCTCGAACTCACGACATCGCGTTCAGCTCACAGGTTACTCAACCTCAGCGCTACGAGCACCTATCGCCCTGCGCAGCTTGCTCAGTGTTTCGGCTAAAGTTCGGCCAAAGTGTCTGACGTCTGTCAATGTCACGAGGCGAAACCCCAAGGTAAATGTCCGTCCCGGTAGCTCGGTCGATAGAGCGTTGGACTCCATGTGCCATGTGGTGAAGGCGTACGTCCCGGTTGCAAAACTCCGGGTTCGAAACACGACGTGTGCTTGACGTTTTTTTAGCCTCCTGACGGGTATGGTTGTGGTTGGTGGCAGGCCGCTGCCAGGCGAAGTCAGCGAGGGGACCGGCCGTGCGCGGCTATGTGCGCACGTTAAAATTTGGACTATAAACCACAGACCATTTTGCCATAGACTAAACCTCAAAACCATAGTCTGCAATAGACCAGGAATTGCTTGATCGGAGGGTAGATGGCAGGTTTCAACGCTTAACAAGCTCAGCTTAGCGGGGACTCTGTCCTTGTGATTCCTTCCATTCAAAAGGTTCGGGCCAAATTAAAAAAAGGGGAGCCGAACCAGGTTGGGCCGAGTTGAACCAGGCTGGACCGGGGTCATACATGCAATCATGGTCAGACAAAACAGAAGTTAATTTCGGGTCAAATATTTTTATTAACTGATCTTATTGTTTTTTAGCTTACACGTAAAATAACTTTTAGCTTTTTATAACTCGAGACTTCATGCACAGAAATGTGGCGTTCGTCCACTTTTCCTCATCGTCTCTTAGCGACTTGATTTCATGTGGTGGCGGAACGGGGGGGAGGGGGGCATCGGGGCACCGTGCCCCCGTTTGATTTTGGCATTTTAACATTAGCCCGTTGCATGGAAAAGAATGGGCGTTGCATGGAAAGAATGGGACCAAAAGTCGGCAGTGCCCCCACTTCATTAAAGGTGTTCCGCCGCCACTGCTTGATTTGACCCTAAAGGCGTCTTACCAGCAAAAAAAAAAATCACCTGCGTTATACCTCAATATTTGCCCAAGGGCGCTCTACGCAAGAAACGCCAGCCGGTCAAAAACTGGCGAACGAATACGATCTCTCTAGTGCTTGAATTATATTCAATGAAAATTTCAGGAGACATAAATAATCTTAATCCTTATAGCTAGGCGCTCGGAGCATTCGCTAGCATTCCATTGCCAGCTGCATTATCAACGCCACATTTGCATTACTCTGGGTGCATCATAAATAACAGTAGGTGAACCGGCCACAGCAAAACCATGCCTCATTATCCTTTCCTTCCAAGCTGCCAAGCTAACCGGCCGCCCGGCCCACCACCGCGATATGGAACAACACTGGAGTGCGCCATTTGCCTACGGCAGTGCCCCACCGCGCCGGGGCTGTTTGACAGGTCACCCGCACCGTGACCTCGCCACCCGCCCCCCCCCCCCCTCCCCGCCCACCTCCCCATCGGGCCCAGCTCTGTAGTGACCTCTCCTTGAATTTGACATGGACTCGACTAAGGCTCAACGCCATCTAGTTACGTCTGGAGATCCTAATAAGATCCACTGTACTTCAGGTAGACGAAAATCATTCTCAGCGCCAAAATAAAAGTTTTCTTATTTCCCTATCGGTTAATGATGGTCAGTACCAATATGTGGAAAAAAATCCGACATATACAAGTAATAAGGACTCGGAAAAGAAAAGTATTATTTTCTGCAACTTTAATCTTCCTGTGAAAGCTTCCCTAGTATTGGGGGCGTTACGATGCTACGATACTTTTGACGGTGCAGAGGCACACTTATGTATAATGCCATATTACCATAGGTCACTGATTCGACCTAAAATTATTTGACCTAAAATTGCGATTTGACCTAAAATTATGGCTGGTTGCACAAGAACCGGCTTCAAGTAATGGCCAAATATTCCAACTTTTAGCGTTTTTTAGCTAACGCGTTCTAAACAATCGTAAAAAACTCGTTGCATGGAACGAACTCTCTCCCCCTCGGCCGGTAAGGCATACAGATCCGACCCTACACGTATGTAAGTGACCCGGACAGGACTCTCCTCCGGTCTTTTTACACTCATACGTGAGACCCGTAGAATCCTTGTAATCGCCCTCATCAATGTACATAATTTACGTCCTTTTGGTGTCGTAACTATTTTTATTAAAGGTCATCGTTGCGTTATATTACACGAAACCGAACGCTGTACAAGTCACATGTTTTAACCCTTACATTAAGCGCGACATGGGAGCTTTCATGTCCAGATAAAGGCCTTTCTGAAATTATTAATGCAGGTTTTCGCTGCTAATCTGAGGATAATTTTCCGTTATATTTTCCGTGTTACTTCACCATGACCCGATGCCACAGAGAAATAAGAAATGAGCTTTTTATGTGAGTCTGTGACACTTGATAACTTTTCTGCACACATGTGGTACCGGATGCCCCAGAAAATATCGGGCTGGTTGATGGTTTCGTGGAGAAGCAATTCTTGAAATCGAAGCCACCACATCGACTGGTAATGACGTGTAAAATATGCTCTCTTATAAACCGTTCCTTTGTGGATTGGAATGGTACAGAGCTGTGGTAAGATTATATACAACTTTTGAATGTCAGTGATCAATATTAGATTTTGTGTTCATCCATGGTAGCACGCGTTAACCCAATCCAATAAAAGTGAAATAAGATCGTTTGGATTTATTGACAAAGGACATCACACAATAAATACAACACCAACAGAATTCATTCAAGCATACAATGCACGAATTTGTGACTTAGTTGCCGTAGGCGGGCTTGTAGGTGGGCTTGTAGCTGGGCTGAGGGTAGCTGGGCTTGTAGCTGGGCTTGTACTCGTCGTAGCGGGCCTCACCCTCGTAGGTGACGTCAGCAACAGTGCCAGAGTAGGCGTCATCCACACGGTAGGTGACCGTCTGGGTACGGCCGTCGGGCAGCACAACCGAGTAAGATCCCTGGGTGGCGTAGCCGTCACGCGCCTCCTGGGCGTTGAAGACGGGCTCGTAGTCTCCGTATCCGTGGACGTCGTAGCTGTAGTCGTACTTGGG